CAATGCAACTGTGTCCTGCATGACTGAAAAATAAACTGCCGTGCTCTCAATTTCTCTATCTAAACAAAGTAAAAAAATTAATAATATCTAAATTAAATCATAGATATACAAATTACTGGCGAACGCAGGTAAACATTTCGGATAGATAATAGATATAATTGGTATTCGGAAAAAAAAGCAATGTACCAACTAAATACATTATTCGTTATTTTATTATGATTTACATATTTAAATATAATCATTACATTTATCTATGTACACTTCTTTTTTCTTTAAAATATTTAAAAGTATAGCTGCAATCTGCATTTAACTTTGTCGATAATTATCATTTGTCATTTGTACCTACATAATGTGCTCTGTAATGCTTTATTTTGGTTAAAAAACGTCGGCGCCAAGTTATTAAATCTTCTCTTTCGCGAAGTGCAGTGTTACGATTTTTTTTCACGTATTCAAACTGTAAATCTTTTAACACTGCCTGGAATGACGTACGTTTCATATTAGGCAATGTTTCATCCTCATTAATGGCTACCAACATTTTTTTAATTGTTGGTACTTCACGGTTCCTCCAAAAATCATGAATTTTTTGCCTAATTGCGTTTTTATCAAATTCGTCGATTTTTTCAATTACTGTATGTCTATGTTTTTCCTTGGTAGGCGATGAAACTGTACCTTGTCTTTTGTACTCCGACAATGTTGTTTGTATTGTACGTTATCCAATACCCGAGAATTTTGAAATTTCTAATAGCATTTGTCTGTAGGTCAATCGGGGGCTGTCTGGATTTTCAGACTGTTTTTCAACGAAATATTTGTAGAGATTAATAACAATTTTCCTTTGACCAGTGCCAATAAACTAAAGAAAAAATATATATTTAAAAATTAAAAATTTTCAATAGGAAAATAGTATTATAAACACTTACTTTTCCTTTTGGATTTTTTTTAGCTGGAGATACAGTTACATGTTCGTCGTCCATGTTGTATTTTTTTAAAAAACGTAAAAAATAAAAATAACGGTTTGCTAAAACACGCGAAAACTGTATGCTCGAAAAAACAAAAATGTTGTGTATCGTGTATGTATTCAATAACGTAGAATATCGAAAACACTATGATACGCTCTGTATACATACACCGTCACCGTTTCCTGGTCGGCGGCGGCGTCGGTAGACGGCAGCAGCTGCGCGACGGTGGCGGCGACAGCGTCGGCGGCCAGAGTTAACGGCGGCCAGCGTTTTAGAGGGTTTAGTGGTAGGGATACGTGAGAACGGACGAATTTTGGTCGCCGCCCAGTAGCGTTCTCTCGGCGGCCGGACTTTGGTACGCGAGGCGAAAAGTGAGTCGCGATCGATGCGCGCCAAGTGGCCGTTTTTCATCAGGGCTACTCCAACTGTTTTCCCGCCTAAAATAATTTCAAACGACGTAATGTAGACTTTTTTATATAATAAAATACAAATAATGTATTTAATACAAATAATACATAAAATACAATTTTTTAATTAGTATTATCATCTTCATCATCGTCTTCGTCAGTAGAACTATCGTCAGGATTAATTGTGATAATAATAGGCTCCAAAATTTCGTCTCTTAAACCTTCCTTAATCAAATCGTCTTCTTGATTTTTGTTGCAGTGTTCGCCACATTTTGCCCAATCTTCTGTTGTTACTGCATTTAAAGCACTATTTACTAATATTTCTACATCTGACATTTTGAAGGTGTTATTTTTTTCCGCGACTTTACCCTTAACTTGCGCCCAGATTAGTTCAATCGGCTTATATTGATAGTGGTAAGGAGGAAGTCTTACCACTTCATGGCCCATTTGCAGTGCAATTTCGTCCAGCTTATATTTTTTTTCCTTTGGCATCGACTTTTTGACTTTTTCACGTAGTTCGCTTAATGTCTCTACTGGAGAAAAGTCCACAGACTTGTTTTGTAACCATTTTTGTACATCTGCCTTTCGAGTATTTGCCTTAGGGTACTCTTCTGTTAAGGTAGAATGGTATGTGGCATTGTCCATCACGATTATACAACAACCCATACAGCAAAATTATATCATTAAAATATCTACCGGATATTTGACTACATTTATTAATATTAATTTAATATCTGCAGCGTGTCTCAAGAGTATTTTTTAATATTACAAGGATATTCTATAAATGTCTTATGAACCAATTTTTCATAATAATAAGATAAACAAAATAAAATATCTCCATGATATTTTATATAAGATATCTTTTAAACATTTAAATTAAAATAACAGACAAATATAACTATCTTTATATTTTGATAATATGTTATATTGCATATATTAATATTATCCACATCAATATATTATTATAGTAATTATATTTAAATATTTATGTGATATCACATTATTTATGTTTAATAAATATCTCATCTATACATTATGTTTTATAATATAGTTATACAAATATTTCATGTATATTTGTATATTGAATACTATAGCTATTATAATTTGGAGACAAGAATTAAAAAAATATAGAACAGGTAGTGTAGTTATAACATGTAGAATAATATCTATGATTTGGATTTATTATATTTTATTTATTTTAAATACTCAATGTAAAGTGACACAATACCAAATTTTTTTACTGCTATTTTAAAATAATTTCATCATTTGTATGTTTTTTATTTTCTATTCTGGCTTTAGCTGTTGTTAACCATTTCCCAATAATTGCAATTATTTCATCGTCTTTTATGTTTTGGAATTTAGATTGTTTTGTAGCGTCTAAAATATATTATTATTATTATTACTATTCATCAATTATAATTAACTTAATAACATTACCAAAAATTACTCTGTTTATTAATAATGAAGAAAAATTATATTTATTTCTCAATCCAAAATATCACGATATTTAAATATCACAATTTTAATATAGAATCAATATCATACAGATACAAAGAAACACATATTTTTCTTATATCACACTAGTGATATTTTTTTGTTATAACATAAATAAATACTATAAAATATCTCGATTTAAATATCAAAATAACATCATTAAAATAAAAAGAGTAGAATAATTATTTTAAGCTATTGCTATAATGTTATAATGATATCACTAAGTGAAATATCTTAATATTTACATGAACCTGATATCATGTTAATATCAAAATCATAAATTTGCTGTATGGGAAATATCCAAAATCTCAAATAAATTATCATTAAGCGTATGGTATAGACCAGAGGTTCTCAAAGTCAAATGAATCACGGACCCCCACCTAAAGA